TGTCTGTGAGTCTATTTCCGTTTTGTAAATAAGTTTATTTGTATCATTTTTTTTTAGATTCCACATGTAAATGATATCATATGTCTCTGTCTTTCTAATTTTCTTCACTTAATATGGTAATCTCTAGATCCCTTCATGCTGCTGCAAATAGCATTATTTTATTCTTTTTATAGTTGAGTAGTTGAGAAGTATTCATATATATATGTATTCACACACACACACACACACACACACACACCCCACATCTTTATTTATTCATCCGTTGATGGACATTTAGGTTGTATCCATGTCTTGGTTACTGTAAATAGTGTTGCTATGAATATTGAGGTGCATGTATCTTTTTGAATCAGAATTTTCTCTGGATATATGCCCAGGAGTGGGATTGCTGGATCAAATGGTAAGTCTATTTTTAGTTTTTTAGGGAACCTCCATACTGTCCTCCATAGTGGCAGGACCAATTTATATTCCCCTCAACAGTGTAGGAGGGTTCCTTTTTCTCCACACTTTCTCCAACATTTATTGTTTGTGGACTTTTGAATGATGCCGTTCTGACTGATGTGAGGTGATACCTCATTGTAGTTTTGATTTGCATTTCTGTAATAATTAGCAATATTGAACATCTTTTCATGTGCCTGTTGACCATTTGTATTTCTTCTTTGGAGAAATGTCTGTTTAGGTCTTCTGCCCATTTTTTGATTGGGTTGTTTGTTTTTCTTTCTTTTATATTAAGTTGTACGAGATGTTTGTATATTTTAGAATTCAATCCCTTGTTGGTTTTATCATTTGCAATATTTTCTTCCATTTCATAGGTTGTCTTGTCATTTTATTTATGGTTTCCTTTGCTGTGCAAAAGCTCTTAAGTTTAATCAGGTCCCATTTGCTTATTTTTGCTTTTATTTTCGTTACTCTAGAACACTGATTGAAAAAAAATATTGTTGCAATTTATGTGAAAGTGTTCTGCCTATGTTTTCCTCTAGGAGCTTTAGAGTATCCGGTCTCACCTTTAGGTCTTTAATCCATTTTGAGTTTATTTTTATATATGGTGTTAGGGGACAGTCTAATATTATTCTTTTACATATAGATGCCCAATTTTCCCAGCACCACTTATTGAAGAGACTGTCATTTCCCCATTGTATATTCTTACCTTCTTTGTCGTAGATTAATTGATCATAAGTGTGTGGGTTTATTTCCGGGCTTTCTATTCTGTTCCATTGATCTATGTGTCTGTTTTTGTGCCAGTACCATGCTGTTTTGATCACTGTAGCTTAAAAGGCATTCTTAAAGTCTTTTTTCCCCACATGATTTTTTTTGTATTTGAACAAGAATAGGCATGTGAACTAAGAAAAATCAATTAAATTTGCAAGGTTTGCATACACCTCTATGCACAGTCATGTGCTAGATAATTTCAGAGTAGTATAAAAAGAGAGTTTGTATATTGAAGAGTTCAATATAAAAACTGAGATCTGTATTATCTGTTTCCTGCAACCATAGACTTGTAAGTAGCTATACATACCTCAGCGAGTTACGTTTTTTATGTTTAAATACTGTATCTTAAATTATTATTAGATGCATTTAACCTAATGGGTTATAATCACTGGCTTCACAGGGAATTATGTCCAGTATTTCAAAACTTACTGAGTTTCAACTTTCTCTAAAATTAAAATTATTTCCTAAAATTTAAAAAAAATTGAAATTTGCCCCTTTCTATTCCAGAGGAAACTAGATTAAGAAAGCACAGAACATGTGTGTAAGATTTTAAAAAATGATATTGATGCACCATGAAGACTGATAACTTCTGATCTGAGCCCTAATATGCTCTTATAATTAAGATACGATTATTCCATCTTTAAGAAAGGCAGCATAAACAGGTCTATAAACACATTTGTATAACAAGAAAAATAATATAAGATTCCCTGACAAATATAGTATGTCAAGAAGCAAAGAAATATGGGTTTAGAATACTCAAGGAAAACTTCATGGATAAGTGACCTTGAATAAGAGTTGGGATTAGAAATGGGAAAGAACACATGGAAATAGTTTCCAACACATCCCACTCCAACATATTCATACTTAGAGGGGATTTACGAAGCACATGTTAAGTCAATCTGTATAGTCCCAGTGGACACCAACTCTCTTCTTTAGGACCTTTTCATGATGCATTCTTGGTTTTTTTTCTTCTCCTTAAGTAATCTTTTGTTGGCAACTCTGGGCCAACATACCTACAGCAGTCAAATTACTATGTATTTACATCCCTAACATTGATATCATCATTGTCTTGAGGACATGCTTACATCAAAGTAGAACTGATTTTTCTGGGGAGAAGTAGGCAGAGAACTCCTTGGCGGATCTGCTTGGTCTTCACACTATAGATGACTGGGTTGAGCACAGGTGGAACTAACAAGTAGATATGAGCCATGAAGATGTGGATGAGCGGGGACGAGTGTTTTGCAAAACGATGGACAATAGATAGCCCAATCATAGGCACATACAGAATAAGTACAGCACAGATGTGGGATGCACATGTGTTAAGGGCCTTAAATCTCCCCTCCTGGGATGAAATTCTTAATACTGAGTGAAGGATGAAAATATAAGACACAAAAATACCCAGAGAGTCCATGCCCCACAGCACAGTGATCAGAACCAACCCATATATAACATTAAACTTGGTGTCAGCACAGGCAAGGCGGATCATGTCCTGGTGCAGACAATAGGAATGAGAAAGGATGTGGGAATGGCAGAAGGGAAAGAAGGCCAGCCGGGCCAGAAGGGGAATCATGGCAAAGGCACTCCTAAGCAAGGCTGCAATTCCAATTTTAGTGATAAGCATTGGGGTGAGAATGGTAGCATATCGTAAAGGGTGGCAGATGGCCACATATCGGTCAAGGGCCATCGCCAAGAGCACAGATGATTCAGTGAAGGAAAAGGTATGAATGAAAAACATTTGGACCACACACGTATTGAACTGGATTTCCCTGGAAATGGACCACAATACCCTGAAGAGTGATATCACTGTGGGCAAGGACATGCCCATGTCAGTGAGGGAAAGCATGGCCAAGAAGTAGTACATTGGCTCATGGAGCCTGGGGTCTGTCCGGACAACATGTAGGATAGTACAGTTACCCATTATTCCAACAAGGTAGAGGAGACAGAATGGGATGGAAATCCATGGGTGAAATTCCTCATATCCAGGGATACCTGTGAGATAGAATGTGGAGGACAGAGTATTGTTGGAGTTTATGGTTGCCATGGGGCTTACTGTTAAATCACAATCTAATTTTGCAATCACATTCCAATAGGAGAGGTAATGAGAAGATCAGCATCTGTATCACAAAAACAAAACAAAATAAAACTTCAGTCCATCCTATAATCACTCCTAGATCCATCCCTACATTTTTGCTTTGTTTTTCTTCATTTCATTGCTGAGTGTTGTCAGTTAAATAAAATACCCACTTTTATAACCACAAGGATCTTCCCTTCTACTTCTCAGGTGCAGACCTATTAACATGCTCTCTGAATATGCGCAATCTTCTTCTGAAGACATTACTCAGAAAAGCACACAGAAAACTCACTGTAGACTACATTTTTAATTTTGTATTTTTCCTTAGGAACATCCTTGGCCAGAGTTATTGGTCTTATGTTAGCTCTTTCTCTTTAAAAAAAAAAAAGTCTTGCAGTGATTTATTTAAAATATCTTTATCTGTCTAAGCTTGATAGCTTTTTCAACAATACTAGAATACCATGAAAGACATCTTCACAGAATTCAAGCAAGTATTGGTCAGCATGGTTCTTGTTCTTAGTAACATATTTCTGGCTATATAACTGATGCCACAGGGCTAGTATCCACAGATAGTCAACTCTAACATGAATTTGGTTTTGGACTAGCATCCCCAATAGCTAAATACAGATTAAGACATTTAAAAGAATGTGTAAATTTTTAAAATTATTATTATACAATATGTAGTTTTATATGTAATACTCTTATTATAATAAATATATAATTTAAGCAAAGTACAATCGACTCTAACTCTGATTTTTAAGGTTCAGAAACTTCTTCCTATTATGTTTCAGAATTGAATAATCAGAGACTGGTTCTTTTTACAAAAAAAGAAATACAAAACAATAGCTATACAGGGGTTGTAGAAAGAGAGCAGAAATTCATGATTCAAAACAAAGACAAGAGAAAACAAAATAACAACAAAAAAATGCTCAAAAAAAGCCTACTGGTATCTGACTTTGACTCTAAATCTTTTCTGCTTGGACAAATGAGTGAATATATTTTCTCCTACTAGATTCCAGTACTTCTTCTGTGGCCAAGAAAAACATCTCTGAAGTAAGAAAGGTGAGCCACCTCTCAAAATCCCACTTGCCCATCATTGGCCAAGCATCCATGCTCCCCAAAATGCTGGTTTGAGAATTTATAATCCAGGAGACAGATTACCTCCTATGGTAAATTAATAAATTGGCATCTTGCTGTCTTGAAAGTCTACTTTGGCCTTTGGGACATCAAATCCCCCTCAATCCCCTCTAGTTCCATTTGAAAGTAAACCCTGACTACAGAAGATATTTCCCTGTGATGTTTAATAATTTTCTAGGAAGTGAAAGATCCATAACAAAGACATCAAATAAGTAAATTACAAAGGTAAATTCAGTATTTTTGACTGTTCATATTAAAACTAAGTTCTCCCTAAATACTGTATGAACTAATACTTCTTATGACATGCTATTTTCCTCAATCTGCCTGGCTTATTACCTCCTAAAATTCCTATCTATCTACTTCACCTTCCTGTCTATACTTGCATTAATTATTACCTTCAATGCCCAGATTTTCCAATATTATCCCTTCTTTTTGTTGATTTTTTTCAAATTTCTTATCTACAATTCAAATTTAGAAATTTAGTTCTTTTTATCTCACTGTTTTGTCAATTCAGACCATTTTTCTGATTTTATAACTCTCTCTCCCATTGCCAAGGAGTAAACATGAAGTTTAATTGAAAACTGGATGATATCTGATCTGAAGGTCAGTCTGAAGAAACTTTGGTCATCTCAGTGACTTTTTACTTAGGTTTTAAGGAGACAGCTATCCACCATCTCCCTTATTTAGAGTCTATTTCTGTGGTTCTGCAATCACATTAACCTAAGCTATATTCTGGTTTCAGTGCTTGCTCACTTTAATTTTGACCAAATGACTTTATTTTCTCTCGGTACCAAAGTTGCCTCCTCTGTAAACTG